ATTTTTATGCTTTTAACTGCATAGAGTGATAGAGCAGTTATTAATTTTTAAACGTAAAGCCCATTTATTTTGAAACCTGTGATGGCCAGACTTTATATAAGGGAATGGGTTACTCTCAGTTTTGATCACTAAGCCTACTCCTCTATTCAGAAAACCACACCATCGGTTTGAGTGAGTCAAGGTTTAGAAAACAAAACTGTCTTGTTTTAGATTTACAAAATTGCAATGGCAGGAGGTACGCACATTAATCTTTTCATTTTTTCTTCCGCTGTTGTTGATCTGAATGTTTTTACTGTGATTTTAATAAACGGTTTTAGGTCCAATTTCATACTTGCTATTTTATCATTTGGTATCAGAGCATGTTTATTCCTCTGCCTTGCATGTTTTTCGTTGATTTGGATTTTAGATTTATGGGTTTTATTATTTTGATTCTTTGATCCAAATAATATTTTCCAAATTAACGTTAAACCTGATTACAATTTTTCTTGTAATCTTAAACGGAGCTTTTATTAAAAAGCGAATAAAATTACCCAAATCGTCATTAAGATTCCGGGTTGACGATGAACCGTTTCGTTTAAATTTTTTCTTCTTCACCTTGGAGTCGTCTTTCCCGGCGTGACAATATGGTGCTTGACCTGCGGCGATATCTGATTGTTCATCGGAGTTTGTAGGATTTCCCATAACGTCCTGGGATTACCTGTAGATGAGCGACCTATTTTCTGTGCCTGTGTTTCTTTCACCAATTTCTGCACGACTCGTCCCTGTTTGGATTGTCGCGCTTTAGCCTTCTTGAACTGTGGTTGTTGCTTGATGAAGGGAATGAAGAAGGTCTGTTGTTTTTTCGTGGTGAAGAATTGGGTCTTTAAGATAGAGAAGGGTTTATGCGCGCGTAACTACAAAAAATACAACACTAATTTGTCCTTGAACCACCCTATTTTATTTTCACTCGTTTTTGCGTGTTGCTCTGTCATGCACATGAGAATTAAGCCTCTGCCACGCACATGAGAACTAAGCTGTTCCTAATTTTGGTCATTTTAATGACCTCTAGCAGCTTTATTTGCATTGCAGCTTTATTCTCTTTTTCACGCAACATTAAATATTGTTAATGGATGCATTGGTGCTTTTATATTCAAATAATGATATAATTATTATTATTATTTTTATTTAGCATATAATATAAAACACGTTTTATAATAATACGTGTTTATGATACGTAAGCATATCATGTTTTATATTATATATAATATATGTGTGTGTTTAAATTTTTTTTGGGTTGATAATTAGGTATATTTTATAGATATTATTTGTATGTATATATTTGTTTGTTATACGTGCAATAAAATATACATTATTATTACTATATTTACATATTAATGAATTTTATGTAAATATTTAAATATTTATTAATGTTTTTGTAGTACTATAAGTTTATAAATTAAAGAGAATGGCTTAATGGACCACTTTATGTTCCTTAAAAATAGGAACTGAAAATGCTATAATATTTATTTTATATTTAAAATAATGCTAACAATACACTCATGCATAAATGGTCTTTTTTTTTTAACTAAAATGTGGCTTGGTGTTGCATGAAAAATTGTATCCATACTGGTTAATGGAAATGTAGGTGGCTAGATCCTTAGAGATTGCGTATATCTGTCCAGTTGCATGTCGGAAGTATTTGTTACCCTCTTCTCCAAACTTCCAAAACTCAGGTTCATGATACTTAACATCCCTAGAGAAAGAAACAAGATCAGATAACACAGAGCCACAACAAGGAGAATTGAAAAACATAAGTCAAGTGGAATTACTTTCGTGAAAGAACAGGTCCAGATTTCATACATCCAATGTACACCCTGGGTTTTGAACGATGACGAGTAAGGGTTGTTGCAAGTACACCTACATGGCAGCAGTTGTTAGCACAAACCTTTCCTGTGAGGGGAATGGGGTGGAGGAAACAAAAGCATGGAAACACAAGAAAAATGTCGAGTATTGAGACAGCATATACCTAAATTGACATGGACATCATCATCCACTTTGACAAAGAAATCAGCATCCCATTTTGCAACTGCAGTAGAAAAGAAAATTTTTGTCTTTGCAGACAATTCATGATACCCTTCAACATGTTCCTACAAAATGAATTAACAAAATCATAATCCTGATGGATTATCAGGATTTATCTCAAAAACAGATCCGGTGATATGAGTTACCAGGCGAAGGAAATCTTTGTGCTGAGCTTCTTCTGAATCAATAGCTCGATCAAGAATGCTGTTAGAAGTTGCACTGAGACAACCATGACAAAATCATTCATGTCAGTTCCGTTAAGGGTAACTATGTGTCACTTTTAAACATGTATCTATTTTCAATCAGAGTAATAATAAAAGCATGCCTATGGTAACTTCAGAATTTACTCTTTTGTGATGTCAAGAATCTTCTATGAGCTTGATCATCTCATACTAATACATAAAGTAAAGGATTACAGAAAATTCTACTGCAATTTGTAATTCTGTCACCGATGGTTCTTCTACAAGGTAAGGGTTAAAAATTAAGTTCTACGTGACAAATTTTGTGGCTCATTTTAGAATCTACCGGTCAGATAACTGTGTAATGGAGATAACTGTCACATAAAACAGGAAAAATCTTTCGGTGCTATCATATCAACAAATAGTATATAAAGGTGTTTCACATGACAAAGGAAACTTCACATGACTTTACATTTTAAGGAATTATGCATAAAGCCATTAATTCATTTGCTGACCTTAGTTACTTTAGACATTATTGTAACTCTCCCCTGATTCACACCATCTTTATTTTGATGATAATTTCACCTTACTAGCACAATCAGAATCTTACAAGAAATAACCTGTGACCAATCATGAATCTGATGACAATTCCCTTCTCTTGTTCCAGTTGAAGAAGCTGCTGCCCTGACCAAAAGGAGAAGCCAAAACCACAACTTATCAGAAATGAGTGCATCACTATTTATATTAGATTAAAACAATTTCCATTCACAGATACCTTGTGGCATCCAAGTCTCTCTGACAGAATCACGCCGCTTCCTGCTACTGAAAGCAGTGTTTATGCCAATCACTAGAAACGTCTTCTTCCTTGGAGGGCCTTCAATGGAGGATCTTGTGGCCAAGGTGTTAGCCGAACCACCTGAGATTTCAGATTCTCTGCCACTCCTTGCCACTGCTAGCTCCATCTGCAGGACGGAAATTTGCTTGTCCAGGGATCTGACACCGCTCCAGAAGAACATAAACACCAATCATTCAAAGAACACTTCAATTGCAAATTGCAAATGGAAACAAATCTAACCACAACTAAAAACATGTTCCTCTCAGCACTCACTGAATGGCCTCATGGGTTTTGTACACTTCACTCATTACATCCTTATCCTGCACAGGTTGCACGTGACACATTCAAAACACCACCACAAATTTAAAAAACATAGAACGTAATGCAAAAAACATCAGCAAATGGAACTGAAGAGATCACTGGGAGTGAACCATAAAAACATGCCTTTTTAGTGGCACAATCCCCTGTCACCACTTGCAGTTCTTGGTCGCGTCGATGATTTGACAGAAGCACCCCATTAGACTCAGGTGCCTCCCACATCCTGCGAAGTAAACAACGTTGTCGTTATTGAGTTCAGTCATTAACATGAGCAATAAAAATTTGAACTTGGGAAAACAAAGGGCCAATTCACAGACTCAAGTTTCGAACTTTAGTATTTCAGTTTAACAAAATAAAATAAACAGGACCAGTGAACAGAGAAGAATCGTATAAAAATTGTGTGAAGAAAAAAGTTAAGACGATCAAGATATAGTGACCTGGTTGTTATGATCATTCCAAGAATGAAGGAAAATACAGAGAAAATTGGAACCCATTTTGCAGAGATTTTGGCGGAACCACGAGTCTTCATATTGATTCTGTGTTCTGTGTTTATGTCCGAGAATTACAACTTCAAATACACTCTTTTTATTTAACAGGTTGATTTGTGGATATTTATGAGAATACATCAAGAATTAAAAAAATGAGGAGAACAATAGTCAACTATTTGAAATTTTTGAGTGGAGGATTTGATAATACTTTACGACTAAATAATGGTTTACATAATATTTTATGAAAATGTTAGAATTTCAAAAGTTAATTAATGTATTGTTGGATTGATAAGAGAGAAGCAGTTGTCATTTTTAAAATCATTTTTCATTCCTCTCCCACCAAGCTGTCTATTAATACTATTTTATTAATCTTCTTTGCCAACTTCAAGATACTGAACTGCTTAATATAATAATTGAACTGATATGTTCAATTTTTAAAAATTGAACCTATATAATTTATTAATAACTGTACTTGTTTCCAAAAACATACTTATATTTTACTATTTATATATATATATATATATATATATATATATATATATATTATATATATATTAAGAACACAAAATATCTAAATAAGTAGCAAGTAAGCGTGGACATGAGTCAATATTTTACACTGTTCACTTAGTTTTTTTACATTTAATTAAAGAATTGTGTTTAATTGTCTAATATTTCTTCAGTTTTGATATTTGGGCTTAATTTGACCAATAATTTTTATTTTAATTAATTTGAATTATCTGAGGCTAATTATTTACATTAGGGTTAAATATGTTTTTAGTCCCTAAACTATTGGCCGTTTCTGGTTTTCGTCCCTCTTCCAAGTAAGGTACAATGTTTGGTCATTCTTTAGAAAAACGTTCGTTTTAGGCCTCAAAATTTTGTTTTTGTCCTCGTTTTAGTCCTCAAAAAGTTCGTTTTTTCGACTAAAACGAACGTTTTTTAAAGATGAGGACTAAATTGTACCTTACTTTGGAAGAGGGACGAAAACCATAAATGGTCAATAGTTTAGGGACTAAAAACATATTTAACCCTTTACATTATTATTAATTGCAGGGAATTATTTGGAATATTATTTTGGAACTTCAAGAGGACAAGAATGTCAACAACTACTCTCCACATAGGTGTTTTAGATTTAATTCATGTGTAAACTTGTTTTTAGTGTATTTTTGGATAGATTTGGACCATTGAGCCATTTTTAAGTCAAAATACTAAAAGCCCAATTTGTGGGCTAACGTAGGACTAGGGGTTTTAGGACCCACAGCGCGCTAGACCCTCTTCTCTGCTCAAACTTTTTTGGAACGAAGTTTGAAGACCATCACATGTAATATTTCTTTCATTTGATACAAATGCATGTTAATTAACTACTTTAGGTATGATTTTCGTTTGTTTTCACCGATTATTTTCGTGTTCTTGTCCTTCATATGCACATTCTGCTCTCTCACTGGTGGCAAAACTTTATTCCAAGGTTTAATACCTCTTTTGGTCCCTCGAAAGGGGGCCAATGTTCAATGTGGTCCTACTCTTTTTTAGAAGTTCAATGTGATCCCACCTTTTGTAAAAAGTGTGCAATCAAGTCCTTTTTGGAAACGGCGTTGAGTTTTTAACGGAGCAGCTGACAGGGTGGACTGAAGTTAGCTACGTGGCTTTGTGTGGGTAATACGTGGCTGTGAATGGGTGATACGTGGCTGTGAGAGGGTAAATCAGAAGTTAGGGTTTGAGTTGCAGAGAAATTAGTAATTTGTGATTTCTTCTGAAGGGTGTTCGTCGTGTTACTCTTAGACTCAAACGAAGGACGGCTTCTTGTTAGGTCTTCAACGCGTATCTTCTTCTTCTCTTCGTCTTGGGAACCGTGGAGAACGAGGTCCTCCGGTTCTGCTTCTGCATGGCTTATTCATGGTCACTTTCTAATTTTACTCTTCGCTTTCCTCGCAAAAAATGTGTTGACTCAACCGCAATATGATGCTTGCTTGCTTGCTTCTGTCGATCACATCCAATTTCATTTTTTGGTTTTTAATTTCTCCATTCTGTTTCTCATATTGATTCGATTGGCTTTTCACTCAAGGATTTCACGGTCTGTTATAAGTCTCCACTGTTTTTTTTTTCTTTTACCGCTGAAGATCCAAAAGGCTCGGTGGTTGATTTGATTTTAGGAAGTTTCCAAATGGTTATGTAACTGCAGTTCAGTTCTATATTTGCAAAGTTCTGTAACTGAAGACCACAACCATGGGACCACCGAGAAGATCCTTTACCCCAACTTTTCAAACACGACGAACACCCTTCAGAAGAAACACGACGATAAATCCCAAATTACTAATTTCTCTGCAACTCAAACCCTAACTTCTGATTTACCCTCTCACAGCCACGTATCACCCTCTCACTGCCACGTATTACTCACACAAAGCCACGTAGCTAACTTCAGTCCACCCTGTCAGCTGCTCCGTTAAAAACTTAACGCCGTTTCCAAAAAGGACTTGATTGCACACTTTTTACAAAAGGTGGGATCACATTGAACTTCTAAAAAAGAGTAGGACCACATTGAACATTCGCCCCCTTTCGAGGGACCAAAAGAGGTATTAAACCTTATTCCAATGAACCCACCTTTTGAAGATTAGTTTTCATTTTCGTTTTGAAGAACTTATTTTTTGTTGTTTTTGTTTGTTGAACTTGTTTGTTGTTGTTCTTTGGTTGAACTTGTTTGTTGTTTTTGTTTAATTGAACTTGTTTGTTGTTTGATTGAACTTATTTGTTGTTTGTTATTGTTATTTGTTGTTGATCCTATATTATCGTTCATAGTTCTGTTTTTCAGGTCTCGTAGAGTTGTAAAAAAGGATTACAATTATTTAAAAAAAAATTGATTAACGTCATATATTGACAAAATTCGACGTTAAATTAACGTTGAATTTTTTTAATTCAACGTCATTCTCGAATTCGACGTGAAAGGTAAAAAATATTCGATGTTATATGCTGTTTTTGTACGAGTGAATGAAGGATGGTGGGAGAAAGGCGTTCGCAAAGAACCAAAATCGTAGAGAAAAATATAAAACAGTGGCGCCTTCGTAAATATTTTGTTAAAAATAACCCTAGACAACACATTATGCTTCAATTATAATAAAAATTGAAGTCAAATCATCTTGTTCAGATAAAATAATTAAAAAAACCCAAAAAAATTAAAACCTAAATTTTTTTAAAGATTTAAAACAATTTGCGCACCTTTTGACCTCGATTCTTTAAAAATCAAAGTAGAAAAAAAGTGAAGGACTTCAATTCTTGCAAGAATGGAGGCAAAATAGGGTATTGCCAAATACCCTTAAAAATTTTAAAATTTTCAGAGTCTTTGATCTCAATTATTAGGACCGAAACGAAAAATGATGTATGACTTCAGTTATTGTATAAGGAAGGTCAATTTCCTCCGCTCAGATTAAATAATTAAAATAATAGCTAGAATTTTGAAAAATTGTATGTACCTTTTTCGACTTCAGTCGTTGGGAAAGTGAAACATAAAAAGATGTACGCCTAATCGAAAATCAAATCCCTCACTCAGATAAAATAATTAAAATAATAACAAAATTTATTACAGATATCTAATATAAACATTTGAAATAAATTATTAAGTGCAATATTTTAGTTTATATTGTTATAAATATAATTATTTAAAATCTTATGCTTATTTTTATGTTCGTACTAAAAATACGAAAAGTATTCAATAATAAAATTAATATAGAAAGATAAATGTAATTTGTTTAAGACAAAATTATTACATTACAATTTGTTTTATATTATAGTGAAAACAATTTGAATGATCAATAAATATATATTATTTTTAAATAATATTATTTTAAAAATAAAAGAATTTTTTTTTTCAAATTTTATTTTATTAAATGACTAAGTAATTAGAAGTCATAAAATGATAAAATTAAAAATGAAAAATATAATATAGAAAAAATATTTAGTACAATTATTTTTATTTAAATTCTTTTTGTTATACTCGTCTAGTTTTTGTTGTTAGACTCGTTTAATCAATATACATGTAAATATATATTCCTAGACTCATCTAATAATAATATTATATACATGGATAATATATTTAAAGATAATTAGTTGATTAGTTTTTTTTTTTCTTATTAAAGTCACAAGCTTATTAACAATTTGTTGTTTTAGTAAAAAATGAATTCAATGAACATAAAGCAAAATTTATAATATTTTGAAGTCTGATTTTTTTTCTTATTATACTAAACCTTTGAAAAGTAACTATTAAGTACAATCTTTTAATATATTTTATGACAAAGATAATTATTTAATGAGTTAAATATACTTTTAGTTTTAAACTTTAATGTAAAATTAGAATTTGTTTTTGTATTTAAACCTTTTATATAATTTGTTCTTCAAACTTTTAAAATGAATGGATATAATCCTTTTAGCCCAATTGTAATACAATTTTTTACATGTCAAGTGATATATTTCAGGTTGATGCTTGAATTTTTTATACTATTAAACAAATTTTAGCTTAAATGTCACTCTATGAGATTGTTTAACAAGTAAACAAATTAACATGATTCAATTAAAATAATTATATCCATTTATTTTTAAAGTTGAAGGACTAAAATGTATCAAAGTTTAATATAGGAACGAATTCTAATTTGGCTTTCAACTTTAGGGACTAAAAAATACTTAACCCTTATTTAAAACAAGTTACATGTATATACTAATCATGTTAATTTTTTTATTGAATAATATCATTTTGATTTTTATATAATAAAAAATAAGAATATTCAACAATAAAAATATTTCTATAATAATTTAATAAAATAATGATAAATATAATTTTGTATGGAGAATTTTTTTAAGATAAAATTATTACATGACTATTTTTTTTAATATGACAATGATAATACTTTTTATTATTAATAAACCTATATTATTTTTTGAAATAACATTATTTTAAGACATAAAACTAAAATATATATTTTCTTAAAATTTAATTTTATTATATGACAAAGTAATTAAATATATAAAAGAATGTTAAATTAAAAAGTTAAATTAAAAGAAGTAATTATTTATTTATTTTAAAATTAAGGTTTAATC